TATATATAAATGGATATGAGAATGATGGAAGGTTAACATCTCTAGCTCAAGTAGAAGTCTTTCATACTTTTGTTACATTTCTCATGTATGATATAACATTCTATATACATTTATATCTCAAATTGTGCATACTACCTTCTTTCATATTTTATATGTATATTCTTAGATCTCTCGAGATCTTCTGAAAATTTTTTCTTCTTTCCTTTTCTCCTAAAAGACGTCGTCATAAACACAATAAATGTAGAGCCATACAACCTCATAATTATTAACAATTCTTGATAGATGAACGGAAGTAATAATACTTGATTTGGTTCAAGCACGGTAACCCCATTAACACAAAAAGTACCTTGTGCAAATCTATTATCCCGTAGGGCGTAATGATAGTGTTGATAGTGTGCCAAACTGCCAGTAAACGAGAAAGAGTACAAACAGTAAAGTTTCCCAAACGTGTAAAACTTTATGTGAACAGCGAACAAAAGTGGCGTGTGCGTAGTTTCGATTTTGTACTCTTTTATATCGTACTAGCGCAACGGCGGCAATTGTGTAGAATCGAATCAAATTAGTTATTATTTGATAGTTTATGTATTAAAACGATTCATCGACATTAATAGTATTTAATATTATACCACGTTAATGGACAATTAATTACATTCCGTCCATTTTAAACGCCGATAGAATATTCGTGACAATAATAAACATCGATAGAGTATCCGTGACAATAATAAGCGACAATATTCGAATTATTAAACGTTGCCTTTATTTTGATATGAACATCTAATTATATTTATCGCATATCATTATTCCTTTGATCGATACTTTTAACAGATAATGAGCAATATAATAAAACAATAAGCGACGTTTTTGCCTGATTTTACTGAAAAAAATTACAACGCTTTGGAGAAATCAATTTTGCTGTGAAAAGAATAAATGACTATTTCGTGTTTTTTTTTAATTGTTCTATTTAAAATTTTTTAATACTACGATTTTTGAGTCCTTAATTTGAAACAGAACCCTATGTAGTTTTGGTTGTTGACATTGCACGTACAAATATCGAGTATTGCTCGTAGGGAAATATAATTGAGAACGGGTCGATTATATACAATGTACGTATAGGTATACAGCGCATTGACAATTGCTCCATCGGGAAAAAGTGTGAGAATAACACGGAGATGTCGTTCTCGCACAATCTAGATATTCCGGGATAGTAAATCGTCTCTAGCCACTCGATATTCATAGAATCTATTCTTAGTGGCAACAAATCTCTTGGGTCTAAGCGATAACCCCGGGCCGCGATGGATTTGTGTATTCAGATATTCGCTAGAAACCAAACCGTAAACTTCGATAAACTAGTACGTCGCTTGTTCTTGCTCGGTGATGTGCTAAGACGGAATCATTGAAGGCGATCACTGTTACCATGTTACGACAATGATCCTGCTGTTACGACGTGTTTAGTGCAACATAATACCGTTAAGCTACTTAAAAACAATATAATAATTTTTCGATGCAATTGAAATCATTTTAATGCAATTTTTTTAATGTTTCAAAAAAATCATTCCAATAAAATTAAACTAATTTTTTTAACATTAAAAAAAATATTTTTTTAAATAAATACATAAATGATATAAGAATCTGTATATAGAATACGTATACATTTTGCCAATTTAATTTTTGATATTACTATCTCAGTTCAACTTATAATTTCGTTTCAAAAAAATAATTTCGATTTGCAGAACAAAATATGTATATAAATTCACACTGAAAATATTATTAAAGCACTAAAGATCTAGTTTAAACCTCGTTAAGCGACGTCTACAATGAGATTTTAAGGTGTAAAATATTGACTAGTTAAGTCAAACATTGACTTAGTCACAGTCGAATGAGAGAAAAATCGACTATGATTGGTCAATTTTTTATGGCTTAAAGCTTAAAGTTTAAGTTTTATGCCTTACTTTAATTACTTTACGTTAATTACTTTAATTATTTTAGTTACTCAAATGTATGTGTATTCACATTTGTGATCTTAAGACTCTTCATTTATATATTTCATTTATATCAATATATATTTTATATATTATTTTGCATTATCTTCTTCTTTAAATTTTTCAACTATGCGACATAATATAAGTGAGAAAAAATTATTTAGTTTCAATGAACGCAAATCTTTATTCTTTTAAATTATTAAAATATATTCAATCTTTTTTATTCACAATATTATCCCCAAATGAATAGCAGAATTCTTTTGCAAGTTTGCTAATTATTAGTTGGTATAAAACGAACTCCAAATCATCTATTGGTAAATTTCCCAACGCTCGCTATCTGCATTTAGCTGCATAATGTCATTACTTATCTGAACGAACTACGATGTCGCCGAAGTGCTAATACTTTCACGACACCGATTTTTTTCTCTCTTCCTTTTCACGGTGATAAACTGACCTGAAAAATTCTAGCACTGCCGCGGCAGTAATACGATTGCGAATTTAATATTCCACAATTCCGGGTAGACACCCCAGCCGCGCATCGCCATGCCGATGCCCGTTTCATTTATTGACGACGAGTGAAAAATTATATCGCGTTGAGAGAGACGATCGTGAGTTTCTACGAGAGATGCGGCACGTTTTGTGTGCGTAACGTGGTGGTGATGTGCTTCAGATTCTCAATAGCGTACGTGCAAGGAAACCCTATGAAAATGGAATAAATCGTTGCCATTGGCGTTTAGAAACTACCATTGTCAAGTAAAAGTCAACTCTGCCTGATTGTTAATTTTACTTTCTCGTTGTCGTTGTTGTATTTTACACGTTGGTATTGTGAAAGTCTCAATTAAATGCTCGCAATTAAGTGCTCGCGTTTGCCCAAGCGCCACCAAAATTTCAACAAAAAGCGGACGTTCTCCACTAAAAGGATGCGCGTTGTATAACGCGCTACTGCAATCGGCCCAAGGTCGTTTCAGAGTAAATGCAATTTCGTGAAACTCCGACACTCGCCGTTATTTCTCAACGGTATTTCTCGGCGCGGCGAACCAAGGGATCAAACTCGTTATATCAATTATTTCGATCGTAGCTAAATAAAAGTTAGCTCGAAGTTCCATTAAAATCTCCGTGGCAATCTGACGACGAGGATGAACGCACGCCAAAGGGTTAGCGATTACTCGGAGATAAGTTAGTTCGTGGCGAAAATATTCGGTTAAGGTCTTCCGGGAGAGTGTTTCGGAGATAGCTCGAAACGAGGCCAGACCGATCCTGGCCCCTTTATATTATCAGAGCTTTTTCCTGGCCATACGCCAACCATGGTCACCATGGTAACCATCTTAAAACGTATACTTAGTACACTCGCACTCCCACCTTGTCGTTTCTTTATGGTATGGGAACACCGTCGTGGCCGATTCATCGAATCAAGCTGTCGCCTTCAGCGGCTTGCGACATTTGGAATCGTTTCCCTTTCCCAGAGATCGAATCCTCTGTCCGTTTCGCCCGGCACCTGCCGGATAGAGCGTGTCCCGAATCGCGATAGTGTACATCTCGTTACATCCCAAGTGTCCCGCTTCAAAGCGGACCAGCATATCGGACGACGGCTGATGTCAGTAGATAGCTACGATTGCTCAATATGTGGTTGAACGTATATGTTATAGCTGTACATGCGTTATATGACATTTGTTTGAGAAAATACTAGTTTATCTTTTTTATTCTTTACTTTAGCAGAATTATAAAATATCTAACTTTTTATACACATTTAAATACTTTTATACTTATAAATTTAATGTTTAAATAATTTTTTTCCAAGAGATAAATTATATATTGATAATTTTTTATTTCTCTGGAATCTATTTGATTTAATGATATGTGGTAGAGCTAAGAAATATTATACATGCGATAAATATCAATGAAATTTAAGTTAATTTAATTATTAGATAAAAACCTTTTTTGACCTATATATATTGTTTGATAAAAGATCTTTTTTGATTCATAGTCAGTATATAGCGTCAACTTATTGTTAAATAAGCTTATAAAGATAATAATTTATATGAAAATTTTTTGTTATAATCAATTCAATCAATATGTGTACATTAATATGTCTCTATTTGTGTTTTATTACATTTTTAAAAATGTTAAGAATTAACATTTTTTAAATGTTATTTGTAAAAAATAAGAAAGCCAGGATTCTAAACTTCTGAAGTAATGCACGTTAATTTACAGTTGCAATTGCGTTTCTCTTGCCCTCAATCCTAGAGATAGTTGGTTTCAATTGGCTGAAAGGGCTGGCGGTGATCCTACTGGCAATTTGCTACCGTCTGACAGCTTGTTTCATGTAATGTATGTACGCTTGGAGAACAAATTAGCCGACAGTCCATTCGTAGATCAAATTACCAGAAATTGACCCTGTATGTGTCCGTAATCGATACATCACTACATATTAGTCTTCAAGATATTTGTGCAGTATCAAGAAATAAACGTTAATTAGTAAATAATGACACTTTCTCAAAGATTGCTTGTAATTTTCAATAAACTTGTCTTCTCATAAGTACAGAAGTTATATATTACTCTTTAATTTATTAAAAAAGAAAGAAAATGATTTATATTTTATATCTAATTAAAACAATGGGAATTTGTATTATTCGATCCCGCTAATTACTTTATTACAATAATTGAAAACTGATTGCATTCGTTTGTTGTAACAATAATACTTGTTACTCATTTCTGGAATCTGCAAAACTATATTTTACAATTTCATTCCAATTAACATGCGTAAATTTAATTTTAACCGTAGTGTCTACACATGCACAGAATTTACAAAAAACTACATCACACTATTTAATTGCAAACTAAAATTCGCAGGCAGATAAGTGCAACGACGTGGAAGCAACATCGCGCGGTGATGAACGTGGTCCTTTTTTATTCAAGCGTGACATTTAATTACAGCATCGGACTCGGCACTAGGTTTATAAAGCTTACAAAACGATTTCTCGTATAGCGAAATGTGTGCAACGTAATTGTACGCCGTACAATTACGTCTACACGAAGCATTAGCGTAAATAACCAATGATACTATAATGTTAATTAAGCCAATCTCCATTGTTGACCTATAGCAATTAATTAAATGATTCCATCCCTACATTCTGAACATTCAAATTAGGGCAACGATGATTCTCGCAGAAATTCCGATGTCCGATACAAAATTACCACAAAGCGTTGTGGCATCTGTGGTAAACCGTGAACTACCGCTCATCAGCGATAAAACCCTGATTATTTTGTTATAATCATGCAGGAAAGATATATATCTCTAGGATAAACTAATTTACAATTCAATCAAATGCAAAATTATTATTAATCAATACATTACCATTTAATATTTACATAAACATATATATATATATATGTGTGTGTGTATGTGTGTGTGTGTGTGTGTGTGTGTGTGTGTATATATATTACTATTTATATATGTATATTTATATATGTATATTTATATATTGCTGAGAGGGGACATATGTCTAGAAAGATCAAAAAGAGATGCCTATTTTTACTAATTTTTTTGCGAAATCTTAACTTTATTCAAACAGGATTTTGAACAATATACTGCATATACATATATTAGTAAGTGTTACATAAAATTTATACTTAAAATGTAATGCATAACTTATCCGTCCTAAGCTTATCCGTAGCGGATAAGTAATATCATAGTTTTCATTCAGTTTATTTGAAACAAACACACCTAACAAATTCTTGAAAAAAAAAATTAATAAATCTAATCTTTATCATAGCCGATTTGAGATTTTTCAATTTTAACAATATACTTCTGAATTTACAATGCAATTTTTCGTAAAAAAATTGTTCATCTTTTATTGTAAAAAAACTATAATTCTAAACGAAATGTTGCTTCATAGTTGTATGCTGTTATTCTTATACGAACAAGTTTCGCACTATAGTTCTAACGGCGCTGTTTTTTAAGATTTTTAATTAAAAATTTTATGTAACTCACCAAAATACGTATAAGATTGATTAAAACCTGTTTGAGTTAATAATTTTCACGAAAAGATAAAAAAACGAGATATATCTTTTTGATTTTTCTTCCTTAATAAATTATTCTCAATAATATCTGAGCGATGTATAGTAATAGAGGTACTTATATAACCTTTGTTCTTAATTGTTACTTTCTTTTAATAAATCAAAAAAAATATTTTTAGATTCGTAGAAAATTAAAAAGAATGTAATGATTGTGAAACACTGCTTAAAGTAGATTTTTCTCGATGCTCTCTCAACTCATCAAAACTTCTCGCCTATCTGACTTGTCTCGCTGCTTGTGGACCTATGCACTTTTTCAAGAAGTTATAACTTATTTTATTTGAAAAGGCTGAGAAAGAGAAAGAAAGAAAGAAAGAAAGAGAGAAAGAGAGAGTGTGCGACACTCGAAGAATCTCGTTTGCTCTTTCGGAAACTTTTACTGTTCCAGGCACTCCTTAGAGGCGCTTTGACTCAACAGAGCGCTGTTATCCTCGTCTGCATGGCAATCGACCGTTATGTTTGCATGCTGCACCCTCATCGCTATCACAAGCACTCTTCTAAAAGGGTAAGGCTATTTTGCTGTCTATTCACTTAGCAACTAATAAACTATTAATTACTAATATACTCTTATATATATATATATATATTTCATTATTGGTATTGTTTATTTATAACAGTTGAACAAATAACATTTTACAAATTGCTATGTTCCTACTATTAACATCCTTTATTATAAATTACTCTTATTTTAAAATTTATATTTTTCACCTTTAATATTACCTAAACATTAAAATTTTAATCATTTTTAATGGTTGATGCATTATGCGTATTAACAATTTTTATCTCTTTTCGTATTTTTATTTCATATAAAGTTATGTAATCTCTAATTATTATAAATATTTAAATAACAATTCATATTTTCTATTAAAAATAAAATGCATATAGAAAATTTATCTCATAACCAACATTTTCGAGTTGTTACTATAATAGAATCCCAATTCTTTTATGATTGTTTCTAACGGAATTTCGTATCAACCGATGTCACCAAGTCACTTGTTTCAAACGTTTCTTCTGTCTGCACAGATTCATTCACCAAACTATTCTCTCAATTCATTCGATCTATCGATAATCGTAAATTTGCTCTTGTTAAACACGATGTGAAGTGAAACGATCGAATAGTTGATTGATTAGAGACAATTGTCGTTTCAAGTTAAAATAACTGTTACTCAATGAAAATGGTAGAAAAACTTGTTCAATTCGTTTGAATTCACAAGAAAATAGAACTCATCGTAAATCGGCTATTGATACAATCATTTCGTTTCATGAATATAATATCAGGATATTTGACGATATTCGTATTCATGAATCTAGGAAATGAAAATATTTCTCGTTACACGTTACAATCACCTTATTCATAAGATACGACAATCCATTCGTTCGTAATCATGTGAGTTTGAAGGATAAAGATATTTCTTGTTATATGTTGCTTTTGAAGAGTTTAATATCATATAACGTAACTAAAATATCGGTACTCCGATGCTACGTTCGTAGCACATCTTTTTCAATCCTGTGCCTATTATATATGTCATATAGTTTTATATACATAATATAACTTAGTAATATACGTCAAATATAGACATGAAAGCCATTGAAATGAATATTAAAAAAGATTGAAAGCTTAATGGAATAGAGAGTAGGAATTTCGTTTCAAAAAATAATCTCTTTGGGATTTAGAAAAATAATAGCAATCGTTTTTGTTTTGTTATACGAATAACGAAGGAGTGCGAAAATTAATAAGCGCATACATCTGCGCTGCTTTTATAAATGGAATATTGTTTATCTTCTTTATTCTTTTTTACATAACTCAAAATCGTAGAATACACATACATTTATTCATATAGTATATTCCATATATTTTTCCCCTATCTTTTAAATATTTTATATACAATGTAAAAAGAACATGCTAATATTTATTGTAGATTGTATATATGGATTGGATACGTTTTATGTGATATAATTTATAAAGAGTACTGGACAATTTTATATAAAGTTCGCTTAATAGAATTCACTTAAAAATAAAGCTCGTCAAAACTAACTTGTCTGAACGTACCAGAAAGTTATTAATCTGTTAAATTACTTTTGAAATTCCGATCTATTGATTACCGCAAGTTAATATAATCCAGTCATTTTGCATCACCTTTCGTGAACAGCAGCAAAAACGATCGAGCGTTTTAAAGATAACTTTTACGTAACAACTGCAAAGTTTACGAGCGCTATTAGCAGGATCCTTTCCCGCGATCCGTAACATGCCTGCAGTTTCACACTACGGTTTGTCAAAGCTCGGACGTGGGTCAGTTTACTCTAGATTAACTGCCAAAATGAATTTCGGAGATTTAAAAGCGCATCAAAATGCAAAGTATCACCGCGGCCTGTCATTCGTCTACCACATATACTTTTATTCCCGTGGCCATAGCAATACTCGTGTAACCAGGACAAAATTTATGTATAGTAAAGACAACAGAGCCCGGTTCAAAAATATCCTATCTCTAACTTTTGGATAGTTATAAAAAAAGTTATAAAAAAAGATAATGTAAATTTAATGTAATAGATCCAAATAAAAATAAAATCAATTGTGATTAAGATCGACTTCACGAATCGTTTTAATTAAGAGCGTTTTAAATAAAAAGTCAATAAAAAATTATTCTAATTTTCAAAAGTATTCAAAAGTAAGAAGAAATGCAAGAAAATTTTAACTATTTTATATATATATCATTTACTGACTTCGAAGAATACGGTTTTCCAGCGCTATTAGACTTTCCGCCTTTATCATTCAATATATTTCCCGCTATTTTATAATTCTCCTTTTGTTTCGAAAAAATCATTATTTACATTTTATCTTAACATTGTAATTGATAGGTAATTTTTATTTAAAAATACTTTCCTATATCCTATACGATTTTTATTACAATTATTAAATTACCATTCTTTTAATATTATCATTATCAAATCGACGAACAATTGAGTTATAACATTTTTATTTTTATTTTAATTTATGATTACATTTCAAGTTAGTAAGCAGCATACTAATTTATATACTATAACTGAAAAATGTATGTACAGAATTTACATATAAAAGATTTTAGATTTTACTTACAACTTATATTTGCAAAAAAATGCACTTTTTATCATAAATGATATTATTCTACAAAAAAATTGTTTTAACAATTTTTAGTTACTTTTAATATATTTTTCTCATTTTTCAAAATCTATCACGTTATAATTTTTAGAAAAATGGCATTAATGAATAAAAAAGATAATTTTGAAGGTTTTCGTAATGTTGTAATATTAACAACAAATTTTTTTCGAAATTTCGTTAAATTTCGTGCCACACAAAAATATTAACTTTTAGCTTTAAAATTTATTTCGTTTTGTAATTTCAATATAATTTTTTATTTTCGAGATATAGTAATTTGAAAATAGCTATATTATATTTTGTTAATTTTATATGGATTGATTGTTAAAATTTCAAATACTGAAGATGACAAATGATCTATTTTCTGTCCTTGCGCTAGACCGCATTAGAATTTTCTTTCTCGCTTTCGATAAATATCAAACATATACTTTTCTCACTTTAAGTTCCAAAAGTATATACTAGTTTAACCACAAAAAACAGACCTCGGATAAGTGGTCGAAAACCTTATATATGTATATTTATATTTATTATCATAAATAAAGAACAAATTAGGCAAAAAATATCCAGCACTAGGCTCTTGTTTTGATTCTTAATTTTGATTCTTATAATATAGTTTTTTTTATTTATCCAATTAATATGATATTATGTATTAAGTATAAAAGGAACTTATTTTTTACATAATACACTATTAAAATGGAATAAAATATCTTTTCCATGTGTTACATAGAAAAAAACCGATTTTAAAAATAATATACATATCTCGAAAACAAAAAATCATATCAATTAGAAACAAAATGCATTTTAAAGTTAAAAATTGATATTACGTTGCATTCAAAAATTTTTAAAAAAGTTCTTAAGATTTTAAAAAATTATTGTCGACATTACATCATAAAAAAAGTTATCAGCTTTTTTAACGCTATTTTTCTCAAAATTGTAATGTGATAGCCAAAATTAAAAAACAGATTCGTATTCACATAGCATATTTAATACTTTAAAAATTATAGAAAATAATAAATAACCCGCAAACCCTTTAACACTAATGATATGATATCAAGTTGTTTTTCTTTTTATATTGAAATGAGATTTTATATTGTACACATTGTGAATAGAATAAAATACAATAATAAGATAAAATAACAGAATAAAATAATAGAATAAAATAAAAGAATGAAATAGAATTGCTTTTGCACAATTACTAAAGTGAGAAAGAAAGCGCAACATATAAAAATCAGTGGTAAAAGAAAGGCGTTTGACGAATCGCTGATTTGTGTCTTTCATTCATTCCATAATTTTCCGCCTATCGAACGTTTAGCCGCTCATCGAATTCTCGCAAACTCTGTCTCTTTTTATATTTGATAGAAGCTGTTGCTTCTCGATTTTTTGATTTCACATTTGCTCTTATCGTATTATTATTATGTTAGTTCGTAGATAGAGTTTCGTGTTGCATCAGCTTTAGCTATATATTTAGTGCAATATTGAGCAGGCTACAGCTCGTATTTAGTTCCAAGTTCTCAACAACTTGGTCTTTAGCTCTTTGTTTCTGATGTTCACAATGCGCGGAGAATATCACCCTTACACTATTTTAGACGGATCGATAACTTCGATAGTATTTTCAGGGATTCTCAACAGAACTAAAATGCAACTAGGATAGTATCTACATTATGTATGGATTTGTCATTTTATATTTTTAGCATTTTTTTAAGTATTATTCGGGACTATAGCTGTGATTTTCACATAATCACAATCATTAAGTTCACAATATTGTTAATATATCTTACATTGAGTAAATCATATCTAATTTAAGAAATAAATTTTGTATTAAAAAATGTTAATTTTAACTTTCCTATTTTTTATTATATTTTCCCATGTCCAATAAGATTCTTATTATTCTTCTTACCGTTTTAATATTATATTTTTGCATGTTTCAAAAAGTCTACTATACGTCTTTAAGTTAAAATTAACATTTTATTCTTAATAGTTTAGTTTTAAAAATAAACATTTGGTTATTTTCAATATATAAGAGCACATGAAAGCTTTTGCGTACTGATAAATTATAAACTTTGAAGTTAAACATTAAGAAAAAAATTATAAAGTTTATCTATCTTCAAAAATATATGTTTTAAGTTAAGTGTTTTAAGTTTGCATATTAAATTTGTACTTCTTGGTACTATCTCGTATTTATTAAATGTAAAAATGAGAAAACGCTAAGAAAAATAGTTTATCTTAAATATCTACGATCACAAAAATTCTAATATTTTTACATGATACTTTTTATCGTAAGGACCTTCATCTGTAATATTTCTATTGTACTTCAATTTATTTTTATAATTTTTAATAATATTTTTGAGTTAATGGATCGTATCTGTAATAAAGGAAAAAAGAAAACGTCGCATAAGCCTCGATCCTTACTACTTGGAGAGCAGCAAGGTCGAGTGTCATTTCATTGATCGTTTTTTGGGATCAGGACGAGGTTAATCTCGATAATACTTAACACACCGGGTTTGTGCTGTAAAAGTGGATCGTCGATAAAAACTAGTTCGTGGAACTTTCTTTATTTGCTTGCAGATTTGATCAAATGAAGAGAGACTAAAGGTGCAATGTATCTAAAACTAGTGTAATCGAGTTTTTTTAAAAAAATAATTTTTAACGTTTACAATATTTTTATAAAATTCTGATAAAAAATATTGTGTAAATATAATGCTTATAATTTTATATAGTTAAGTATAATTTCAATGATAAATATATGTATATCTCTTTTACGTTATTTTCTTCATTTTCGTTCAATACGATTAAGCAATGTTACATTATAAAACATAAAAGTTAATAAACTACATTATAAAATATATAAATTTTGGACATGCATTTAATTTGAAATATACATATTCTCAAGAAACGACATTTTAATGATTCTTTTTCATGTTCTACTTAAATTTTTACAACATTTATATTTAACGAGGTTATTTGCATACATTTTATTTAATTATTATTTGAAAAATTCCATCATACATATCATATGATATATTTAGATATTTGATAGAATACATAGTACTTATTTATCGCATATCTTTTATCATTTATTTATCGCAGTACTTATTTATCGCATATCTTTTATCACAGTATTAAATATTTTGTCTATTGAATAATGTTGAATAATGCATTCTGAGATTTTTGATAATAAAAACAGTGCATATAATCGTTTGAGTAAACGATGTATGATATACTACAAAAGATAGAATGTGTGCAAACAAGCCCCGGTCTAACCGATAAAAATATATAGACAAATACATATACGCATACATGTGCACCATATCTGTAAAACGCTCGGCGTTTGGGTGAAAAAGAGTGATCGTTTTCTGTCTATGTTGACACAGTATTACATGCGGCAGGGCTGTGTGGCAGTGATGTCGACCACTTGGATAGCGAGCGTGGCAATTTTCGGGGTTCTGGTACTCCCCAGAGGCGGTTACTACTTCAACGGATCTGGCCTTCTCGCCTGCGATCCCTTCTTTGCTAGAGCATCCCTTAGGTATCACCATAGCGAATGCTGTGATGCGGTGATAAGCTCGACATTTCATGATCTTGCTCATCACGTTTGTTCACCATGTCGGTGACCAATTGCGGACAATTACAATTTAATGTTGAGAACGTCGCACCGTCGCGTAGTCGATCGCCTTGGGAGGACACCGAGGCGATCAACCGTGAAAGATAGCGATATATCCGCGTTAATGTTCCCTTCCGGTACGCTTAAAGTCTGATCTAAACCGGTGCTAAATACGAAAGATCGTTACTTCGACCTATCGTAATGTTTTTGTCGGATCGGTAATTTATAAACTCTATCTCGACACATTAGTTTAAATAGAATTATCCATTTATATTACGGCTTTTGTAAACGTTGCTTTGGAGAAATAGAATATAAAAAAGTTTATAAGAATGATTTAAATATACGCGAGATAGAGTCAACTTCACAAAGTACATTACAAAGCATATTAATTTATAAGAGAAAGTTAAAATGGATGCATCGTGATACTGTTTTTATCATATTGTAGATACTAATAACTTTACACACGTAACATCAGATTTTGCGTAATCTACTTGTACAAATATAATTTTATTGCGTTCGTACGATATCATCTTCATTGCACTAGTTATATTCCCGCTTGCGTATGACACGCTAATTACTGCTTTTCTGGGTCGGAAAATGCTCTTTATCGTATCTCCTTTTTCAGGATCCTAGCGTGTTGCTGTTTTTATTTCCCAACGACGATGGTGCTGATGTACTGTTACGGCTCGGCTTTCCACGTTAACAAACTACGCTTGAAAAGAGTAGTCTGTGTTAACACGCCGGAGGTCGTTAGTGGCGGCCACATAGAAAGGGTAAGTCGCTTTGTGAATGAAGTTTAAATCGACAATTTATTGTCAAAATATTTCGACTGGCGATAATTAACAAAACAATTATGTAAAATAAAAAAGAAAACATTACTTTCACAAATATTTTGTTGTGTACATGTAAAATGCATTGGACAGCACGAATCGCGAAACTGACATTGCACGAATTAAATCGCTTGTTGCCTTTTATGTTTGAAAGAATATCATACTAATATACGATCTTAGCTTTTTCTTTTTTAAGTAACAACTTTATATTAAGTAATAACTACAACAATATAATAAAATTACAGTTTTGAAAGTAAATTCGTGTTTATATCAACGCTGCTGTTACTGCTATGTGTATGGTTACTGAAGAAGATAATATATAGGATGATCTTTAGCAAGCATGTTTGAAACTTTATGTTTTATGTGACTCGCTGTTCACATCAAGTTCGTGTCCTCCGGTAAATTACGCAATGAAATTATCAAGCTTGCAAGCAGATATACCGAACAACTTTGCGAGAGTTTACGTAAGATTCCCAAGTGCATTCTCGCGAAAGGACAGCAACTCGTAAACTAGTTTCTAAATCTGTTGAAATTTGTTGAAGACACGGAAGATTTTCATAGAAGGTATCTCGTAACGAATGAACACGAATTCGAGGATAGTTGGCACTAGGAAAAATCGACTAATCCTGCCACCGATATATCTCTTAAAGCGGAGACGCCAAATACCTACATTCGTTTCGAGGTCACAGAGACTAAAGCCAAAAGCGGGGAAATACGAGAAGGGAAATAATGTGAAAGTATTCGTAATGTTGGAGATTTAGATGGAATACTACCGATTTAATAAAATGAAACAGATATAAAGAATGTATAATAGATATAATAAAAATATATATAATAAAAATCAGATTACATTAAATATTGTATATAATGAATTATTTATTTTCAAATGGAAATGAGAAGTATCAGTACTAATTGTTTGTCAACTTAATTTGTGAATATTACATATTCTAGTTTCAGTTTGGGAGTATTTTAAGTCTGATTAATCGATACATAGTTTGCATAAGATTTATAAGAAATTATAAAATTCAAAAATATTAATAAGCACCAAGATCCACCTTGTCCGAATATATAATTCTCTTTCTTTATTTGTGTTAATATTTTTATTTTATTTTCTATCATATCTTAGCCAAAAATATGATAGAAAATAAAATAAAAATATAGATAAATAAGATTTCTATCATATCTTATCCCCCTTTGAATTCACAACAAATCGATGTACCCATCTACAATGATTGCATTGTTATTTGGAGAAACGACCGTAAACTAGCCGATATCCGCGGAAAGACGCGTAACTTCCGCCGATAGAATCCGCATTGGTACCTCCTTGGATCGGTATCTTCGGCATTACCGGGAAGACAACTGTCCGAAGCAAGATGAATGGTCCGAACGCGGCTAAGCCAACGTTGGTTGAATTCGCTGTCGCTCGCTGTCGTCTGCGATGCATTGAATTCATCCACGATAACGAGCTAAGGTCGTCCTCGTTGGCCTAAAGCTATGTGCTAGACATTGAGCGATCGCAATGGCAACATTGGTTCTATCCGCCGATTTAGCAATCCTAGAAAATAGTCGCGAAAGCTCAACAATACCTAGTAGAGTACAAACACAAGCTGGCGATCCTCCGAATAAATGGAATTCAGAGAATCGTCGTGTAATCAATGGGAGAATAATATTCAATAAACGAGCGATCATGAATATTTCGAGAATAATTGTCGGCGAACATTACAAAATGATAATAAACAGGTAATACTTTTTTAGATTTGTATTCGGTATAACTATTGCAATGGAAAAATTTAATAACTTAATTATTAAAGATATAAAAGTTTGAAAATTGTAATAATAAATGTCAAAAATTTTATACTTTTAGCTTTAAATTTCGTGTAAATAAAATCACTCTCAAGAATATCAATCTTCTCTGCTAAAATTATATAAGATTTTAAAGGAAATTGCACTAATGGAAGGTGTATTTGTTCGGAATCCTTTGAAGATTTTTATCAAATAGTTCAAAGTTTACTTTATAATTTGTAGAAATACAAGAAATAAACAAATGTAAAGTAATATTTCCGATGAAGGAAAAAAAGATATATTTCGAAATATTTTCGTGAATAAATAATAACATTTGCTACTGAAAACGTATTAAAAGACGAATTGTACAATATATTCGATCATATTATCGACCTCGTCGTATTTTTGAAGCATGCAAGAGAATCATGCAAGGATTTATGTGACCCGATTTAAGTAACCCTATTCTAAAAGCTTCCTCCCCTTAATTCTCTAAAAACGAATCTTATTTTGGCAAGCTACTCCGGCACGAGAGCCGACGAGCTTTTGGCTTTTTCCACCTCAGTCCCCGCGTGACGCCTTCGTGGTCAAACCACTACCAACGCCCTGCTTCAGGATGTGCGCCCCAGTTTTCGCGGCAAACAATATTTTTCTTCTTGTGCTCCCAGTGCTCCTACATTACCCTTGCTCCGCGTTTCCCATCCTAGGAAATCGCATTTATCTTGACATTAGCCAGAACCATTCTGCGAAGAGGTCAGAGAGTTCCGACCTTGTTCCCACTGGGTGCACTTGCTTATTTTATTTCTTTTTTCCGTGCCATGTTCTGCCGTTTGATCTCGCACCATCAATAAAGAAAAAGAAAAAATCTTCTATATCTTGTAGTAAAATTATTTCCTCTAATATCTTTTTATGTAAGAAGAAATTAATTAATAAATAAAAATTAAATGTAAAATTAATTAAAAATTAAAAATGAAAATTAATTAAAAATTTACGTATATACGTACAAAGTGGATGCTAAATACTCCGAAAGAAATGCTTCCTTATACACTCAAGATGAAAAGATATTTCATATAATTATATATCTGAAACGACTTAATTTCAAAAATACAAGATGTTAAAGTTGAAGGAAAAATTTTGTTTTTTTCCCAAAAATTTTGAAAATCACTTAAACTATTATGATAAAACTTTAAATATATACAATGTTTCATTAAAATAACTCGAATGGTTTTCGAAATTAAAAAAAAAATAAAATTTTTTTTTGTTCAATTTTGACACACTGTTTCTTTTAAACTAATAATAAGATGTTTCGGTCATACGATTATGATCAAAATTTATGATTAAAATTTTTATCTTGAATTCGTGTGAGGAATTATTCTTTAAAATCTTTTAGTATCCATCCTGTAAATATACATATATACATTCTTATTCTTTACACAGAAATCATCACACAAAAATAAAATAGATATTTTTCAAAAGAACCCAATTGAATGCAATTTTTATTTTGCATCGATAAGAATCCTCTAAAATCTTTAATCAAACTTTGGATCCAATAATCTAATTTATTTCCGTCTATATCCAAACTCTAAATTCCAGTTTCGACATCGTAAGTTGTCTTACTGATTCTTTAAAGCTTTGCTGAGGAAATGAGTATTAAAGATTTGAATAAAGCAAGAAAATTAAATATGCGTGGATTAAGTCAATCAGAACTTGGGAGCATTCTCAAAGAAACTTATGCTATTTCTTCTTGACAAATGATGCATTTAATGATAAAATCTTAAGGGCCAATCTACTTTGTATATCGTTTAAACGAGAATAACTATAGAGATTCTTTGTAAACATAATTTAGAGTTTAAAAATATAGGAACACAAAAAATCTATAATTTATTTTTGTCTTTAACTAAAATTTTATATTACTGTTATCTATGTTATAATAATCTTACGTATAATATTAAAAGATTACAATGAATTACAAGTGATTACTTCCAAATGGAGATCGATTCTATAAAAAATGGATTTCAAATTCATCAATCGACTTGTCGTTTGGATGAAAAGCGATGGTGATGAATCACTCCGTAGTCGTTATTTTTGTGTAATTTAGGTCACATCTTTAGGGATTTTTACGTTTTAATGAAAACTAAAAAAATGATATTAGAAATTATTACTTTACTTAATCTATGGTGTTTGAAGTACTGAAAAATTACCTTCTAGTACCATGAATGCACGACTGCTTAATTATTATAAATCATCTCACTGCGGTCATTAACCTGATTCAAGTGACGGTCGCATCGCGTCTATTTTTGCTATGTCATCGCCAAGAAAATTTGTTTGTATATTTCTTCTTTTAGGCAATTTTCCTCACACGGACTAATAGCACATTAATTGTGAATTAATAAAGGATTTCACACTAATTATACTAATTATACTAAAGTCTACGAAAAAAACTTAACAATTTTAAATTATTTCTAATATATCTTTGCCTACTTAATACGAATCCGTTTTTCTAATTTGGCTATCAGACTTTTGAGAAAAATAACGTAAAAAAGCAAAAAATTATTTTGAGAGTTTTCATGACGTAGCAGCAATATTTTTTCAAAATTTTTAATGCTACAAATGTAAATGTATTTAAAAATACTTTTAGTTTCAAAATGCATTTTGTTTTGGTATAATTTTTCATATTCGAGATATGTATAGCAGTTTGAAAATATATTTACATTATTTCTTTTTTTGTTATTTTCATATTGTTTTTTTATTTAGTATGATCCAATTATGTGCACAAGAATAGTATTATGTAAGTAAAAATACTTTCTACATAATGCAGAATTAAGATGGAATATTTTTTCCATGTATTATATGAGAAAAGAGCTATTTTCAAATTGTTATAACTCGGAAACAGAAAATAATATCAAAACAAAACAAAATGCATTTTAAAATTGAAAGTTGATATTTTCACGTGGAATTAACAAAATTTAGAAAAAATTTACTATCAATGTTACAACCTCGTGAGATCTCTCAAAATCATTTTTTTTTCTCTTTGATAGGATTTTTCTCAAATTACAGTGACATAATAACTAACTTCGAAAAACGGATCCGTGTTCAGCTTCTAAAATACTACGGGAAACGATAAAGTTCGTTCAGACACTAATCCAAATAGAAAATTTGGTTCT